GTTTTTTACGAACTCGGGAAACCGTTTCGTTAGATCACCCGTTAGCTAGTCGGAGCCTCGAGGTCGATATTTTGAACAGGTTGTAACCTATTAGTTCTAGTTTTTCCTTAATTTCGGGACTTATAAAATCCCGGGACTTCGTAGTGGTCCCGGACCTACATTTTTTTCAAGAAATCCCGGGACGGACCCGGGACTAAATACCGGGACTGGACACCCTACAAATAATACTAGTATAATTCAAACTTTTTAATGGGGGAGTCTCTTTTTTTTTTGTATCAAATAAAACGATTTCTTCGGGAATTTTTTGCTACCAAATTATGTGGTATTTCAATTTAATCTTTTGCATATGTTTTCATGATATATTTACTTATTTAAAAAGAATTGTTTATAGAAAATAATCTTTAAATTGTCCCTCCACCAAGTTGGTACGTGGATTGTCTAAGTTGCTGGTTGACACAATATCTATCCTTGAAATGATCTGAAACTCAAAAATCAAATTATGTTCTTTTCTATATATGTACTTGTGATTATCGTTTGAACTAGAACTAAGCAAAAAAAATGTTATTGGCAAAATGGCGCCTAGTCAAATTAAGATAATCGATTTTGTTCTTCAAATCGATAAGTTTATCTCAAAAATAAATCATGTATATATCAGCTTCTCTGTAGATCATACGATAGAAAGATGCTATTTGAAAGTGCAGTTCAAATTTCAAGTCAATCGAATGAGTAGTTTTTTAGGAATCGTGTTAACCAGATGTAAAAAGGATGTTTCGAGAAAAATGCACTTACAGTTTGATGTAATACAATGCGTGTATATTATGCGTGTATACACCTTGTTAATTTAATGTTTATAACTTCTACATTCAGCCAGACGCAAGCTTTTCATTTGCGATATATAACATTAAAATCGGTCAAACCGTTCTTTAGTTATAACGAATTTAATCAAAATTAATTTTTTTCGTATTGGGAGCTAGACTTCCAGTCGGTAGATACGTGGAGTCATTTAAATAACCGTACGTAGGTAATTAGTAAGGCTCGGATTTATATGCGACAAAAATAAACAATATAAGTTTTTTATATGTGTTTAAAATTGGTCAAATATGTAGTAATATTCCGGAAATATGGACAATATCATGCGGTCAAAACAAAAAAAAATGCATATGTGTTACATAAATGCTACTTTTAATGTTGCGTTGTAACAAATAGTATATAAATATAATAAAATATAATATATAAAGATTACAAAACAGCATAAAAAGATATTATTTACAACGACAATAGCTATAAATTTGAAACAGTAAAGTTTCTGGATTTTACAATTTGTTCCATGGTATATTTGATTGGGCCATGGCGTTGCATAAATCGAAAAAAAAAACTCATTTCCAGCGATTTGATGTGATGATTCAGGCATTGCATCAGAAATAAAACTTTGGTTGAATTTTCTACCTGTCTTTTTTCCGATTCTTGGTGGAGAGTAGTTGATAAATGCTGATCAATTTGATATTTTTGATTACACGCCACCTTAAAAATCAACGAGTTCTAGAAAAAAAGCCTTCAAACTTTAATTTATACGTACTTGTTTGGAATAGGCGTTGCAAAAAACAACTTTCCCGTCAGTCACTAGGTGGTTAGATATTTTTATCCACATTTCAAGCAATTCCGCCTTAGAAGAACCCACTTTCGGCATTATGATTTATTGTTTCTTTAACATTACGTTATGTTACGAAAATCGGAGGGGAACCACACAATCAAAGTTATGATGGAAAGCACACCACTGCCGCACTTTTAACTCTCTGTCTACTACTAGATACCGCCAGTGTCAAATAACTGCTGTTATATTGAAATATGGACAAAACATGCGGTCATATGAAATTACATGCGATTATATCGAACTATATGGATAATTAAATTTATATGCGATAAAAATGCAAAATATGAAGTTATATGCCAAATATGCAAAAGCATATAAATCCGGTTTCTAGTAATTAGTAAATTTTGAAATCGGGCATTTCCGCCTTCGCATTCATTGTAGATCATACTTTCGATCGAGATGTTGATGACTAAGATTGGTCAATGACTTATTTGGTTAATTAATTTTTTGTGCTTTAATCAAAATCCTTAAATATTTCGAATCGGGCTTTTCGACAACCGCATTCAGCCAGGCGAAAGCTATCGATTGAGATATAAACTGTTCACGGATTTGAACGGTTTCCAAACCGTTTCCTAATTATAGTTGATGTACCTTAAATTAATTTTTTCATATTGGGTGCTAGACTTCTAGTCGTCAGATTTGCAGGGTCATTTCAATAGCCGTACGCAGGTAATTAGTAAATTTTGAAATCGGGCATTTCCACCTTCGCATTCATTGAAGATCATACTTTTGATCGAGATGTTGATGACTAAAATTGGTCAATTAGTTAAGAAGATGTGTTTGATTAATTCGTTTTTGATGTTTTAATCAAAATCCTTAAATATTTAGAATCGGGCATTTCGACAACAGCATTCGGCCAGACACACACTTTTAATTGAGATATAAATCATTAAAATCCGTCAAATTCATATAGTCGATTTAGTTTAAATTAATTTTTTTATATTGGAGGCTAGACTTTCGGGCGTTCACACGTGCATAAACAACGAGCCACACGGAACACGGTGCCATTCCGAGAGCTGTACAAGATTAACGGGGGAGAATTGAAATCGGGCATTTTATGGTTTCGATAGAAGAAACTATGACGAATCGAATGACGTATAGATCTTGATGGCCAAAGATTAAGCTTTCGAATGAGACATTGTTTATCGAAATCGGTTTACTGGTTCTCTTGTTATAATCAAAATACTATACATGTAAAATCCTATCTACTTCGGGGCTAGAAAAATTGGGGGCTAACTTCTCATAGGTGAAAAGCAAATACAAATAAAATGTAGAAAAATGAACACTAAAAACAACAAATCAGCGGAAATTTGTTTTACAATATTCCATAAATATACAGTGAAATTTCCCTAACTCGAATCACTAAGGGAGCGAAAGAAAACTTTGAGTTAGAGAAAAATTAGTAGAATTTCAGCTCTAAAGAAAAAAATTAGAAATGTACTTTTCTAATACATATATTTAAAACAGAAACCTATTGTAAGTAGAAAATTAATCAAGCTTTTTAAAGTAATCCGTAATTTTCTTTAGGCTTAAAGTGGACAACCGCTCTTTGTCGAAAAAATCTTCTATTAAATGTAAAGAATTATGAATATTATCTGGAACATTCTCTCTTGATAATTCAAAGGTATCAACCTTTCTAAGAGAGGAATAAGCTTCATCAAATGTAGGCACAGCATCACCCTCATCTGATTCTGCAACAATAAGAATATTAGGTTTGTTTTGGTTCAAGAGTCTGTAGTTTTGGAGCCAGAGTCTATGAGTGGTTTGATTCTGTAGTTAAAATTACTTACAGAACAGATTCGAATATTTTATTCTTTGGTAAATTCGACATATAGAAGTAAAAGTTGAAGAAATTTCATAGTAGTTCAGTTCAAGTTATAGAGAAATTTGAGTTAGGGAAATTCGACTTACAAGGGAAGTATCAGAACTGTCCCTCACCGATTTTGTTGAAATTTCGTACAGAGATAGTATGGCCAAAAATAAGGTTTACGTATTTTATAAGTTTACGTTATAAGGGTTGGAAATCGGGGCGAAATATATATATTCGCTTATAGACTGAAAACGAAAATAGCTATCGAAATGTGGTAAATGTAAACTAATATTCATTTTCAAAGAGCTTTCCATTGATATATCACACAAATTTAGGTTTACAAGATACGTCAAAAGATAATTTATGTAGAATTTCGGAATGACATACAATGTCGATCAAAATATTTTAAATATGTTTTCCTTTTCGTTTTTCCAAAAATGATGAGTATCAATGATATTGTATCGATTTGTTGTTTAATTTCTTCAATTTCAGGAACAATATGGTTTTAAATAAGTCTTTATCATTATCGGTGAATTTTGAAAATAAGATTTTGGAATGGATGTGGATCAGATATTCGTATCAGTCTGAATTACTACAGTACCAATTATCGATAAAGTTTTTTTATAATTTGAAAAAAAGACAATGTTTTTTTGTTTTATTTCAGAACTTTTTTTAATTAAAAAAAAGAACGTTTTTTTTTCATCACTAATTTATCGATGGATTATAATACTGATCCAATGTGATAAATGGATCTTTAAAGTTTTAAGCAGCATATTTAAGGTGATGGTCTATTAAGGTCATTTCACCTGGGTTGCGTTCCAATACGATAATTAAACTGATGTTGGAAAGGAATGACATCACATCAAATGAATCAGTAACCTACCCAGTAAGGACACAGACGAGCAACTGTAATAATACTATAATAATATTATGGAAAATCAGCAATACAGTTTTTCAACAATTTCAAGTATTTGGCTGTTGTCCATACACTTATTCGTGGATACTAACATTTTGATTTTGTAAGGCGATAGAACTAGTAAGGGATTTGAACAGTTTCGAGTAAGAAAAGTTTTAGTTTCTTGTTTAAAATTCAAGATGGAGCTATTAATATTTGTGAAGATCTGTAGCTCTTTGTAATACTTGGTCTGTTGTTGCATGTTCATTTTGAAATTCAAATTGATTTGTTGGTATTAGATCTTTTCTTCTATGACAACTTTTAGTCGTTTTGATAGTAACTTTTCAAATATTTTTGATGGTAATGGTAATAATCAGATTAGCCTATATGATGCAACATCTGTGAGGGTTTACCATGTTTTGGTAACATTATTATTTCAGCAACTTTCAATATACTTGAGTATTTTGGTTTAAGCAACATTAATTATGTGTAAATATTAATAAATACAACTTCAACAATATAAATTTTATTGAATAATTATACAAGAATTTTAATTAAAAATATAATACTGATAATTTATGTAATACATATAATTTCATATACGTAATATATTTACATATTTATAAAACACTTTGATTAATTTTTCATTTTTGTCCAGCGCTGCACCCAGCACTCCAAGCCCAATCGCAAACATTAAGAACTGGGTTAAAATGGAGAGTATCTGGTGAGCAGTACTGAAGAACTGGAGTACCCCAGTTGCAAATATAATATCGGTTACAGTGTAATTTGTCAGGTAGAAATTGAATACTATTTGTTGTTCCGCAACTTCCATCTGGGCCATCTCCCCGAGGATCCAGATGAACGTATTCTGTTATTATTAATTCTTCTGTTGTTGTTTCTAATGATGTTGTCTCTATGGGTGTTGTTGCTTTTGTAGTTGTTCCTTCCGTTGTCATTTCAGTTGAGGTCCAATGAGCTCTACAACCTGCCTTTTCGGGTGAATCACAAACGTTCTCAGTTGGATTAAAGTGTAAACCATCAGGACAGAAAGTTAATACTGGTACTCCCCAATTACATTTGTAAAATCTATCGCAATGATATCTATCTGTTAAAAATTCAACGTATTCCTCATTTATTTGGTTACATTCCCCATCTGGGTTCATATTGATATTATCTGTAGTGCTTTGTTCATTTTTCTCCGTTGTTGTAACTGTTTTAGTTTCACAACCAGCATCTTCGGGATTGTCACAAACATTCAAGTTGGGGTTAAAGTGCATTCCATCTGGGCACATCATTTCAAAAACGACACCCCAATCGCATTTGCAGTATTTACTACAATCTTCATGGGGGAAGAATATTGGGTACTTTTCGTTCGTTGCCGGGCATTGTTCGGTGTCACATGACCCAGATTTATCAATTGGGGTAGTAATATCCGTTGTTGTATTTTCCGTAGTTTCACTAGTTCCTTCAGTTGGTTTGTTTGTAGATCCAATACATCCAGCGTCTTTGGGCCAATCGCACACATTCAATTGTGGATTAAAATGTAATCCGTCCGGACATTTCATTTCGAAAGCGACACCCCAATCGCATTTACAATATCTACCACAATCTTCATGGGGGAAGAATATTGGATACTTTTCGTTTAAGGGTGGGCATTTATTATTGTCGCAGTATCCAGGTTCTGTGGAGGGAGTGGTGGTCGTTTCGGTTGTTGTGGTTTTTGTTGGTGTACTGGTGGTTGCATCAGTTGGTTTGTTGGTGTTGGATCCAGAACATCCAGCGTTTTGTGGCCAATCACAAACATTTAATTTTGGGTTAAAGTGTAATCCAGATGGACAATCTAATATGTGTGCTTTTCCCCAGTCGCATACGCAGAATTTTGTGCAATCTTCATGCGGTAAATATACAGGAAATTCTCCATTGACGGAAGGGCACTTGGAAGCATCGCAATTTAGTACAGTTTCTTCAGTAGTTGTCCATTCTTCTTCAGATGCCCATTGACTTGTCGTTGTCCATTGTTGTTCAGTTGTCGGTGGTGTTGTGACTGTCCCTTGTCCTTCAGTTGTCTGTTGAGTTGTGGTTGTCCATGGTTCAGTTGTATCACTTGAAGAAGTTTCTTCTGCAGATGTTGTAACCAATGTTGTAGTTTCCGGGACACTTGACTCGTCTGACACTTCCTCTGAACTAGCATCAATAACGCAATCAACAGTTTGTGCCAAATCGCAACGATTCGCAGCAGTATTCCAGTAAAATCCATCCCAACAAGTTAATACTGTTACGATACCGTTCCTACATCGTATATACAACTGACAAGATCTTGGATGAGGTAAATAAAAATAATCGTCAAGAGAACAAGCAATACCTAAAAACCACTTATTTAATCATTGATTCTTTAGAACTTATTGCACAGATTGGCAAATCTATCTGGGCCGGTTAAGGTTAGATGTGCAGGTTTTAGAAATCGGTGACTCCACATGATTCTTTCGAATCGTTTGAGATGCTTTTAAGATCCTATCTCAAGAACGGATTGAGATATGATCATGAAATAAAGAGCATTTTGAAGCAAATTTGATGCAGATTTTCTCTTCAAATGCACCATAAATAATTTCTTAATATCCATAAATATCGTTATGATTTTTAAAATCCAACTCTGCATGTTTGATTGTTATTGATATGAAATGTAAATTTTTAAAAGTCGTATCTTAAGAACGAATGGAGATATCATCATAAAATAACCAACATTTTGAAGCAAATTTGATGAAGATTTAATGCACTATAAATAATTTCTTAATTTAAATAAACATCATTGATACAATTGTTTAAATACAACTCTGTTTGCTTGATTATTCTAAACATTAAGAGCAGATATTAAAAAAGTTATATCTCAAAAACTAATTGCGATATCATCATGAAATATAAAGCAAATTTACTTAGTATTTGGTTGTGATGGAACGGATAGTGATTTTGCGAAAAGCCGGATACCGGATATTCGGCATCCCCTTCGGCGATTATGGTTACAATTTCTGGCACAAAAATGAAATTAATAAGAAAGCTGATAAGATATGTCAACTTAATTGGATCCAAGATATAAAATGAACTTTTTTAATGATTTAACTAACGAAGAAACTCTAAAAAGAGGATACTTTAACTCATAATTGGCGATATTTCCATAAGGATCCTTAATGAATTGAAAATTGCAACATCGAAAATTTTATCAAAACTTCATATATTGTTTTCTCAAAAACTAAAAGTTATTTTTCAAAAAGGGTTGGTTCATTGGAAAGAGAACACTTTTATTAACACTTTGTGAAATTTTTATACTCATATTCCAAGAAATGAATTTTATACGAATTTTTAAGGCTTAATCGGCGAAAATTGTAAAATTTGAAAAAATTTTCGATTATTTCAAAAATGTATTTCTCAAGAACTAATAGTGATTTTCCAAAACCACTTTTTGCATTAAAAAGAGGATACTTTAATTAATAATTGGTGATATTTCCTCAAGGATCCTTCAAGAAATTAATTTTATAGCGAATTTTGAAAGTTATCGATGAAAATTGCAAGATCGAAAATTTTATCAAAACTTCAGATATTGTTTTCTTAAAAACTAAAAGTTATTTTTCAAAACGTGTTAGTTCATTGGAAAGAGAACACTCTTATTAACACTTTGGTAAATTTTCATACTCATATTCCAAGATATGGATTTTATACGAATTTTTAAAAATTGATCGATGTGAATTGCAAAATTCGAAAAAATTGTCGATTATTTCAAAAATCTATTCCTCAAGAACTAAAAGCGATTTTTTAAAACGACTTTTTGCATTAAAAAGAGGATACTTTATTTAATAATTGGTGATATTTCCATAACGATTCTTCAAGAAATTAATTGTAAAGCGAATTTTGAAAATTTTCGATGAAAATAGCAATATAATATAACTACAAATATTGGTTTCTCAAAAACTATAAGTTATTTTTCAAAACGTGTTGGTTCATTAGAAAAGTAATAGGTTGTTAATATCCGGCCGGATTTTAAAAAATGGCTGGATATGCCAGATACCGGATAGTTGCCGGATATCCATTCCACCACTAGTATTTAGTATTTTAAGATGATTTTTTAAATTATTAAATTTTAGACTTATGAAATTTTGGATTCAACCCTGCATAAACTATTAAGGACCTAACTTTTTCTGTTTCTTCTGAACAAATGACCGGTCAAGGTAAATTTGCCAAGCTGTAATTAATTCGTCATTTTACCTAGATCTATGTCATCATTAGGAAGATTTTCAGCGTTTAAGTTGCAAATTCCATTATCGGGTATATCACAAGATCCAGTCTCTTTATTAAAATAAAATCCTGGTAAACAATTATGAATTTTCCCCACACCGTTATGGCACTCAATAAATTTTGAACAAATTGAAGGATGTGGCACAAACCCTTGACCATCGCATTCCCCTACAAATGCAATTAATTTAACATAAATAATTATTAAAAATATTAACCCACCTTCTAATTCCTCACTCGAAGTGCCGATAATTTCTGATTCTTCCTCTTGCTCCGTTTCATCTTCAGATGCCCAAGGACATTGTGCATCAGCCGGTGACTCACATTCCCCAGTTATTAAACTAAAATGTAAACCATCCGGGCATTCATACAGATGATATTGCCCGTTTTTACATTTAAAGTATGTTGTGCAACTTGAAATATGAGGAGCAACAAAATCGTTATCGGGAGTACAAATAAAAGCGACCGCTACAAAATATAATTTAAATATATATATAAAAATATATAATAGATATAATAAATCATTACCTTGTGCAGCAAAAGTGGCCAAAATTGTAAGCACAACTATAATTTTTCTTCTATCCATCATAAACGATACGAAACCGTGTAACACAGGATCTTATTCTTGTTTGCAGTAACGAAAATCTGGGTGGGTTTTTATATTAACGCGTCTTAAATATCAATTAATAAGGGTTTAGAGAAAACCTGACAATGCGACATCCGTATCAATGTTAATCTTACAGAAAACTGGATTAGCGGCGTTTTTTTACGATAACAATCTAATTTAATTCTGGTAAACCGCAGCATCACAATCATTTCTCCGTTATCTTACATCTGTGCTTACAAATATTTGTGTAAATCGTAATAAATAAGTATTTGTGATTAAAAGATCTTGTGTTTATTTCATAAGTTAAATTTACAACATTCTAAATTTTGAATATAATTTGCTACAAAACTGCAACCATAAAAGCACGTAAACGGGTGATAAATCCGAAATATTTGAAGATCAATTATATTGTATTGCTTAGTTTTTAAAAAATAAATAATTAAAGTTGAGCGGGGAAAAAAATAGTTTCGAATTACCACTCTTCTAAGCATTGATTTAAAAAATTAATTTTTGGATTATGAGCAAAACTATAAGAAGGAATTTTGTTGTGTTCTTCTAGAATTTACAACCAATTTTAATGATGAAAATCGTTTTTTGACATCTAGATCAGTTTTTAACAAATTAATTCATAAAGTTCCATGACACAATCCATTGAAATGATATCTATTCTTTAGTTGTTAACTAACAAAAATGTATTTCTAGGTTATGAGTGAAGTTTTAAGAACGAAATTTGTTGCGTTAATTTAGAATTCTCAATCAACTTTAATACTAAAAACCGTTTCTTGAAATCTAGATTTGTTTTAAAGAAATTAATTCTGAAAGTTGACCGAAAACGAATCCATTGAAATGTACCACTTTAAAGTTGTTGACTTTAAAAATTTATTTCTAAGTTATGCGTAAAGTTATAAGAACTAAACTTGTTGTGTTATTTTAGAATTCTCAATCAATTTCAATGCTGAAAACCGTTTCTTGAAATCTAGATTAATTTTAAAGGAATTAATTCTGAAAGTTGACCGAAAAAAATCCATTGAAATGAACCCTTTCTTAGTTGTTGACTTCAAAAATTTATTATTAGGTTATGCGTAAAGTTATAAGAACTAAATTAGTTGTGTTAATTTAGAATTCCCTCTCAATTTTAATGGTAAATACCGTTCCTTGATATCTAGATTAGTTTTTAAGAAATTAATTCTTAAATTTGACAAAAAGAAATCTATTGAAATTAACAGTAGTCGTAGTCTTAACTTCAAAAATGTATTTCTAGCTTATGTGTAATGTTATGAAAACGAAATTTGTTGTGATAATTTAGAATTCTCAATTAGTTTTAATGGTAAAATCCGTTTTTCGATATCTAGATTAGTTTTTAAGAATTTAATTCATAAAGTAGACCTAATAAAAATCCATTCAACTTAACAGGCTTTGTAGTGTTAACTTCAAAAATATATTTCTAGGTTATGAGTGAAGTTATAAGAACGAAATTTGTTGGGTTAATTTAGAATTCTCAATCAACTTTAATGCTAAAAACCATTTCTTGAAATCTAGTTTAGTTTTTAAGAAATTAATTCTGAAAGTTGATCGGAAAAGAATCCATTGAAATGAACCCTTTTTTATTTGTTGACTTCAAAAATTTATTTCTAGGTTATGCGTAAAGTTATAAGAACTAAATTTGTTGTGTTAAATTAGAATTCTCAATCAATTTTAATGCTGAAAACCGTTTCTTGAAATCTAGATTAGTTTTTAAGAAATCCATTGAAATAAAGCCTTTCTTAATTGTTAACTTCAAAAATGTATTTCTAGTTTATGTGTAAAGTTATGAGAAGGAAACTTGTGTTAACTCATTTACGGACAGCGGTGGGTTAAAACTGTTAAAAAAATTTTTTTTCACTTATTGAAAAACACTTTTTATTCTAGGATGAAAACTTACTAAAAAGATTAGGTTATTTTTAACGATACTTTATATTCTTCCAATATTACGACTTAATGCTATGGTATCTGTTAAAACTTCACAAATTTGGACATTTGCCCGTCCTCGAACTATTTTTTATGTAAATTGTTACTAATTTTGATTTTAATTTTTCTTCGTGGATATTCGTAAACTCAAATCTTTATATTTTGATATTAGTGCATTAGTTTGGAAATGTTTTGCTATTTTCTTTATAAAAAATTACGCTAAACTCGGTGGTGCGTAAATGCACCATTGGCCAGATACGTATATTTCACGTGGGAATACAAGTACAGACAGATGGTGCCTTATTTTGAAAGACATTCTTGCAAAATGTTTATAGAATGCAGTGGTGGTGGCCGTTGTTTATAAATTTACTAGACAGTACCATCGTCAATTGTTGGAAATTGTTCAACATATAGCGTATAACTGAACTTTTCTCTCAGTTTTTTAGCTCTGTTTATATCGACGGTTGCCTGAATACCTCTCACAAGCGAAATGTTATTTACCAATCGCAGCCGTGGTTCTCTGAACGTGATGTCTCTCACCTTCTGACACAAGTCGACCATAAATTGGGCCCTGGCCCTGATGGCTTGCCGGGACACTTTATTGCTAAATGTGCAGGGGAGTTGGCAACTCCTCTATTCATTATCTTCAACCGCTCCATTGAAAATTCAGTCTTTCCCTCTGAATGGAAAAAAGCCTTCATAACTCCAGTCTTTAAATCGGGTAGCAGACATTTTGTGTGCAACTATTGTCCAATTTCCCTATTATCCATTGTTTCGAAAGTCTTTGAAAAATTAATTTATGACAACTTATATAGCTATCTTCGACCTGCTATTATCCCTCAACAACACGGTTTTTTGCGTGGGCGATCAGTTGAGACGAATCTGGTTGCGTTTGTTCAATACATCCAAGGTTCTATGAATGATAACTCTCAGGTGGATGCTATCTACATCGATCTGACAAAAGCTGTTGACAAGCTTCACCATAACATTCTTATGGATAAGCTGAACAAGTTTAACCTATCTAACGGGCTGTCTCTATGGATTTCGTCCTATATATCTAAGAGATTTCAAGCAGTGAAAGTAAATAATTTCATATCTAGTTTTACTCCTGTTACATCTGGTGTACCT